AAGATAGATAGATACTGACATTCATAGAGGACGGGGAAACATAGCTGAGAAGCTCATCCCTCCAGCTGGAGGAGGTTCAAGGCTGCACTTTTACAAAGTATCTCTTTTTGTTTCCCCAAAGGAATTCTCTTATCAGCCATTGTCTCCTCCGATCCCCAAAAGCTGCCTTTTCTGCTTATTCTGGATGCCAAAACTTTTGCAGAACTAGCTCGTGCATATGTTGATGTGGACATGCACCTGGATCTCCACGGGTTATTCATCCCGGACACAGACTGGGACCCAAGGAAGCAGGCCCCTTCCCAGGAAGTCCAGGACAGGGCTTCATCGCAGACAGGACAGGCGTGAGCGGCCCCATGAGTAGGCTCCCGGGGACACAGGACCCCTCTCTGGGTCCTTCCTTTCATTTGGTGCTTATTCTTTCGGTGTTTTCTTTGAGACGAAGGTTTGGAGATAGAGCTTATTAGTATCTTTCATTTCATTTTGGCCATAAAAACCTTGTTTGAGCATTGGTCAAATATTTATTGATAGCTCTAGCACTTCTAAGAAAGCCCCTTTCTGCTCTGGCTCAGTAGATAGAGCGTTGGCCTTTGGACCGAAGGGTCCTGGGTTTGATGCCAGTCAAGAGCACGTACCTCGGTTGCAGACTCCTCCTTGGCCTGGGCCCTGGTCGGTATGTGCAGGAGGCAACCAATCGATGTGTTTCTCTAACATCGATATTTCTCTGTCGTTCCCTCTTTCTTCCATTCTCTCTAAAAATCAATGGAAAATATCCTTGGGTGAGGATTAAAAAAGAAAGAAAGCTCCTTTCCAATAAAGACCATGACCATGAATAAGAAATTATGTTGTCATGTATTCATCGCTCTTAGAATGACAGAGAAAAATATTTATCTTTATTTCTTCCTCTGTCCCCTTCTCTCCCTTTCCTCCCTCCATTCTTTCCAGTGGGCTAGATTGTATGTCTGGGAGTTCCAGCCTTCTCACCATGCCCTGTTAGTAAATTATGTGGCCAGGAAGGCATGTTGCTTTGTGGTCATTCTATGCAAGGCATGACATACTGTAAAATAATAAAAACTTTAAAGTCTCTTCAGACCTTATTTTATTTTTACATGGCTTCCTTCCTCTGAAGTTCTTCTAAGGCAATAAAATGCAGTGGCAGAGCTAGATGATTGGTAGTAAGCTTAATGGCTCATTGTACAGCCAAAACTTCAACAGATGGGTGTGGGAATCACCTTTTACAGGAGGGGGTTAAAGATCTGGACACTGACCCGACTGGCCATGGCTAAGGGCCCAGGATCCAGGATTGAGTCCCAGGCCAGGGCTGGCTTGAGGAGCACTTGCCTGATGCTGAGAACCAGGGCAGCAAGCCACACCCGTGTGTACAGGAAAGAAGGTTCTCCAAGGTGAATGTGCTGTTAGGACAGACCAGGCATTTGAGGCAGAGGTGGAAGGAGCATGATGGTGGGGATGTAGGAAACTAGGAGCAAGACAAGCATGGTCCCATGTGAATACTGCAAGCCCCAGGGATGTGCCTGGTGCCTGGTTTAGAGAACCAAAGGCAGGCTGGCTAGTTTCCAGATACCTATGGCAGGGGTTGAGAGAGGCCTGGGATTCCACCCTTAGTGTTGCACCTGCCTACTCCCGAATCTAGATTGCATTCAGTCACCGGAGGGGATTCATGACACGTCACAAGAATGGGATGGAATTTCCCATGACAGTGCATGAATACTCCAAGGGGGAGGGGGACAGATGGTCTTGGCTTTTGCCCTGCAGCTACCCTGAAGCCATACTTAGTTTCTACTCAAATGTAGGCACCATCAGGTCAGGGACATTTTTTAAATTTAAACTTTTATTGGAATAATTATAGATTCATGTGCAGTTTTAAGAAATGTTAACAGGAGAATGCAGTGGTTCTCAACCTTCTGGCCCTTTAAATACAGTTCCTCATGTTGTGACCCAACCATAAAATTATTTTTGTTGCTACTTCATAACTGTAATGTTGCTACTGTTATGAATCATAATGTAAATATCTGATATGCAGGATGGTCTTAGGCGACCCCTGTGAAAAGGTCG